TTTTAAGATTTATTTTTTTTTGAAAGGCAGAGTTACAGATAGACATAGATGTGAGAGAGAGAGAGAGAGAGAGAGAGAGAGAGAGAGAGAATCTTCCAACCACTGATTCACTCCCCAAATGGCCACAATAGCCAGGGCTGCGCCAGGCTGAAACCAGGAGCCAGGAGCTTCTTCCAGGTCCCCCATGTAGGTGCAGGGGCCCAAGCACTGGGCCATCTTCCGCTGCTTTCTCAGGCACATTAGCAGGGACCTAGATCAGAAGTAGAGCAGCCAGGACACAAACTCCTGCTCATATGGGATGCCGGGGTTGCAAGCAGCTTAACATACTAGTGCCATATCGCTGCTCCCTCCTCCTAACCCCAACTACTCCACTTCTGATTCAACGTCTTGCTAATGCACACTTTGGGAGGCAGTGAATGATGTCTCAAGTACTTGGTTTCCTGTCATGGATGTGGGAGATGCAGATTGAGTTCCAGGCTTCTGGCATTTGCCTGGCCCAGCTCCAGCTGTTGTGGGTATCTGGGAAGTGAACTAGCAGATGGAAGATATCTCTCTATCTCTCTGTCTCCATCTCTTTTTGTCTTTATATCTGTTTTCCTGCCTTTAAAATAAAAAGTAAAAACTAAGAAAAAAAGTGCATAAACTTTTTAAAAGGGGGAAGACATTTAGCAAAGAAGCTAAGTTGTCATTTGGGATTCCTACATCCCATATCAGAGTGCATGGCTCAAGTTCCAGCTCCTCCACTTCTAATCCACCTTCTTGCTAATTTGCACCCTGGGAAGTGGCAAGTAATGGCTCAAGTACCTGGGTCCCTGCCACTCATATGGCAGGCCCAGATTGAGTTCCAGGCTCCAGGCCTTGCCTGGCCCATCCTTGGCTATTGCAGGCATTTGGGGAATGAACCAGGAGATGCAAGATTCTCTTTCTCCACCTTTGAAATAAAATTAAAATAAATGAACAACTTTTTAATATATATGAGGAGGATAGATCTAATGGTAAATGTTCTTACTAAACAATACCCCCCTTCCCCCACCCCCCACACACAGTCACCAACTTTCCATTGTCTCCAAGCAACCTGTTTGGATACATTTTCAAGGTGACATCCTCAGTGCACATGAGAATCCTCTGTGTGTTCCTTCCCCTGCCAGGTGTGCTGGCCAAAAAACGGTCTCAGATCTTAGGCCTAACAGATGCCATCAGCAATGTGGTAAGTAGCACTTCGGTTGATAAATTATTTCGTGTGTGTGTGTGTGTGTGTGAGAGAGAGAGACAGAGAGAGGAGAGAGCGCAATGAGTGAGATCTTCCAAGCCTGACTTCTTGTATGCAAACTGACAAAAGTATACATGAGCTTCCATGCACAGCATTTTCATAATATGAATTTTCCATGAACTTTCAAGAAATGTTTATTTGAAAGGCAGTCAGACAGAGATAGAGACAGAGAGACGTCTCCCATCTTCTCGTTCACTCCCCAGATGCCCACAACAGCCAGGGGTGAGCAACGCTGACTCTGGGAGCCAGGAACTCAATCCAGGTCTCCCACTGGGGTGGGGAGGGGCAGGAACCCAGCAATTTGATCCATCTCCTCGCCCTTTCCCAGATGTGCCATAATTCGAAGCTGGAATTAGAAGCAGAGCTGAGTCTCGACCCAGGCACTCCAAGATGGGATGCCAGTGTCCCAAGCAGAGTCTTAACCACTCACTGTGCCAGACTGGCACACCCCACGAACTTTTTGAAGACCCCTCATTTACATGAATTTCAAAAAAATTGCAAAACAGTAAATGAATCTGTTCATTCTGTTTTCGACCCACAAATTTTTTAGGTGCCCTCATATTTTTAAAAAAATATTTATGTATTTATTTGAAAGGCAGAGAGAGGGAGATTGATTCTTCATCTACTAGTTCATTCTCCAAATGCTTGCAATAGCCAGGGCTGGGCCAGAGTGAAGCTGGGAGCCAGGACTACATCCCAGACTCACAACATAGGTGGCAGGGACGCAAGTACTTGGACATCTGCTGCTGCCTTCCCAGACACATTGGCAGGAAGCTGGATCCAAAGCAGAGTAGATGAGACTCAAACCTGCACTCTGAAATAGGGGGTGTCCCAGGTGGCAGCTAATCCACTGCACACAATGGCTGCCCTCACGTTTCTAAACTCACATGTTGGGTAAGTCCTTATTTCTTGGGGCATTAGGGGCCCAAGACTCTTGTCTCTCCTGATATCTGTAGGCCAGACATGATCCATGTTCCTTATTCCAGGTCTAGAAGCTGCAGTCCCAGACCCACAATAGTGCTGGGCCCACAGGGACCAGCGCCACTTTTTCTAAGCACACTGCCCCCTTTCCTTTTCTTCTCTAATAGGACTAGCCTGGGCACAGGTGCCAGGTAGTAGGCTAAGTGCCCAAGTGCCTTAACTTAATTCATTCTCCCAATAACCTTCCAAGAGCGGTACAATTATCATAGCCATCGGCCCTATTTTATAGAGAGGGACATTGAGGTGCATAGAATTCAGGAACATGCTTGAGGGAATACAGAAGGTATGTAGTGGTGGGCAAGAGCGCCCCCAAGAGGTCCAAAATGAAAGCCCAAGCTGTTACCTTCTGCCTGACTGGGCCTTCCAGGCAACAGCCCCGACAGCGCTGATCACCGGGTGGGGGTGTTGTTGGGGAGTTGGGAGGCTGGGGGCTAGGGAGGTGTCTAATGGACGATAGCGCCCCCCTTGTTGAGTGGAAAGCACACGGTCTCGGTGCCCAGGGCTATGCAGGCTGCAAGGACCTTTGGGTAGGACTTGGGTCACAGTTCCTATTTCCCTGGCTCTCATCTTCTCCACATATACAGGACCTTGGCTCTCAGGAAAGCTCCTGTAAGTCCAGGGGCCCCGGCCCGGCTCATGGCTGCCCTGCGCACAGTGACCATCAAGTCCCTGGAGCCTGCAGCCTCTCTGAGACCACAAAGCTGGCGCCACCTGAAGACCTCCACAGTCGCTCGGGCTGTGCTGTGATCCAGGGGTCTGAGGCCACAGGGAGTTGCCCTTACTTCACCATGGCTTCAGAACAGCTAATTTTTTTTAATTTGCATTTTCTGCAGGGGTCATTTTTATCAGGAAAAGCATAACACTATTCAAGAAAAAAAATCAAGCAACAACTTGCATTGCCCACAGTTGCACCACAATAATATAGCTTTGAAATTTTTATGGTTTCCTTAAGAGTTTTCAAATCACACTCGGGCAGTCTTTTAAAGCATGTATGGGGACCAGTGCTATGGCACAGCGGGTTAACGCCCTGGCCTGAAGTGCCAGCATCCCATATGGGCATATGGGATTCCAGTCCCAGCTGCTCCACTTCCGATCCAGCTCTCTGCTATGCCCTAGGAAAGCAGTAGAAGATGGCCCGAGTCCTTGGACCCCCGCACCCACATGGGAGACCTGGAAGAATCTCCTGGCTCCTGGCTTTGGATTGGCACAGCTCCGGCCGTTGCGGCCAATGGGGGAATGAACCAGTGGATGGAGGACCTCTCTCTCTCTGCCTCTCCTCTCTCTTTGTAACTCTTTCAAATAAATAAATCTTTAAAGAAAAAAAAAGCATGTATGTTGCTGTCGACCTAAATACCAGAGCCGTGTGCCACAGCAAGCCATGTGCGCCTTCAAGGTGGTTGAAGCAACCAGAAGTTTTCAAAGGCAGAACCAAGGAAGATGACATAAGATATTTTGAAATAATAATCCTTAGTACACAGGTGGTGGCTGTCCGAGATTAAATAACAGCTGGTGGGCAGACATCCTGGCAGAGGTATTTCTGTGCCGAATTGTGGGTCTGGCACAACTGTTTTGTGAACAGTTTTTTTTTTTGTTTGTTTGTTTGTTTGTTTGTTTTTGACAGGCAGAGTACACAGTGAGAGAGAGAGACAGAGAGAAAGGTCTTCCTTTGCCATTGGTTCACCCTCCAATGGCCGCCGCACCACGCTGATCCGATGGCAGGAGCCAGGTGCTTTTCCTGGTCTCCCATGGGGTGCAGGGCCCAAGCACTTGGGCCATCCTCCACTGCACTCCCTGGCCACAGCAGAGAGCTGACCTGGAAGAGGGGCAACCGGGACAGAATCCGGCGCCCCGACCGGGACTAGAACCCGGGGTGCCGGCGCCACAAGGCGGAGGATTAGCCTAGTGAGCTGCGGCGCCGGCCGTGAACAGTTCTTACCAGGCACTAACCAGCGTTCTTTAAACGATTCCCGACAAAAGCACATCATGAATAGTTACGCATGGATTTCCATGATCTCTTGCACCAACATATTTTTAAGTCCATGTTTTCTTTATTTTTTTTAAGACCTTTCTTTTTTTTTATTTTATTTTTTATTTTGACAGGCAGAGTGGACAGTGAGAGAGAGAGACAGAGAGAAAGGTCTTCCTTTGCCGTTGGTTCACCCTCCAATGGCCTCCGCGGCCGGCGCGCTGCGGCCGGCGCACCGCGCTGATCCGATGGCAGGAGCCAAGAGCCAGGTGCTTTTCCTGGTCTCCCATGGGGTGCAGGGCCCAAGCACCTGGGCCATCCTCCACTGCACTCCCTGGCCACAGCAGAGAGCTGGCCTGGAAGAGGGGCAACCGGGACAGAATCCGGCGCCCCAACCGGGACTAGAACCCGGTGTGCCGGCGCCGCTAGGCGGAGGATTAGCCTAGTGAGCCACGGCGCTGGCCAAAGTCCATGTTTTCACCAACTTTTAAAGTCCCTTTGTTTGCTTGAGACTTTTAAAGTTTATTTCTTGGGCTAGGGCTTGACAGAAGGGACTCCATTTGGATTCTCATAATTCTGACCTCGGAACTCGCCACAGGGCTGGGAGGGGAAGAGCAAAAGGCACCTGCTGAACTTGGACACCGAGCTTGGGCACCCCTCTGCAAGAGTTCATACTGGGCTTGGCTCAGCCAAGAGCTGAAGAGCTGGGGACATCTTTGTGGCCTGTCCCCAGCAGGACGAGACCCCTCCCCCCAGTCAACCAGGAAAAGGAAGCAGAAAGCAGAAAAAGGAGAAGCAGCGGCCAGGCCATTTACTCTGTGTCCCGCTCCGGGAACTCCTCGGACCGGCAGCAAGCAGCTGTACGGGAGAAGCGAGCCTCAGAGGAGGACGTTCTGCCACACCTAATCAGAACACGCAGGTAACGTGAAGTGTTACCCTTCCCCCTTGGGAGGAGGAATGGAGGGAGGCTGTTTTATTTTCCTCCAGGGGCAGCTGCTACACACTCTGGGAGGCGATCTGTCCCTTCTGCCCCACCCAGGTTTCTCTTAAGAGGAAAGCAGGTCTCATATCTTGAGGCAGCAGATGGTGGCAAGTGCCTGGGAGACCCAGATGGTGTTCCACGCTCCTGGCTTCAGCCTGGCCCAGTCCTGGCTGTGGCAGGCATTTGGGGAGTAAACCAATAGATGGTAGATCTCTCTCTCTCCCCTCTCTTGCTCTCACTCTCTTTCTCTCTCTGTTGCTCTGCCTTTTAAGTAGATGAAAATAAACATTAAGTAGATGCGGGGGTTTTTGTAAAACCATATATAGGGTTTCCTAGAGGTCACTTAGGACACTCAGGTAGGGCAGTGGCCCGGCCACCAGCAGATGTGAAAAGTCATCAAGAACAGGACAGGGCTGGCCTGGGGGGAATCCTGCAGGGAGCAGAAGTTTCCCACGAGGTGAGCTCTCCTCCTCCCTCAGCACAGCTTCCGTTTCTGGGTTCAGGCTAACAGGCGAGGACAGGGCTTAGAGGCCACAGACAAGCAAGAATCCTAGACCTCTTTCTGGGATCTCCAATGAACCTGCTCTGCCTGTTTAGCACTCCTGGCTGCCTCTTTGCTTGAACCAGGGTGTGTGAGCCACATTCCATGTCTCCAGGGTAGGCCCCGGGGAAGGGTCAGCTGTGGGGGTGGGGGTGGCTTACACACTCTCATTCCTGGGGCTGAAACCCCGCTCTGGGAGACGTTCCCTCTTTCAGAACAGAAGCTCCTCCCTGTGCCTGCACGGATTTGCTTTCTGATCTGTGCCCCCTGCCTGCAGGACTTGGTAGGAGCCACCATGGGTGCTATGAGTCCCAGAGGCCACAAGGCAGAACCCCAGGTGGTGATGATGGGCCTGGACTCGGCGGGCAAGACCACGCTGCTGTACAAGCTGAAGGGCCACCAGCAGGTGGAGACCCTGCCCACCGTGGGTTTTAACGTGGAGCCTCTCGAAGCTCCAGGGAACCTGTCACTGACTCTCTGGGACGTCGGGGGCCAGACGCAGCTCAGGGCCAGCTGGAAGGACCATCTGGAAGGCACAGACACCCTCGTGTACGTGCTGGACAGCACGGACGAAGCCCGCTTGCCGGAGGCTGTGGCTGCACTCACCGAGGTCCTGGACGACCCCAGCATGGCCGGCGTCCCCTTCCTGGTGCTGGCCAACAAGCAGGAGGCGCCCGACGCTCTTCCGCTGCTGGAGATCAGGAGCAGGCTGGGCCTGGAGCGATTCCAGGACCACCGTTGGGAGCTCCAGGCCTGCAGTGCCCTCACTGGGGAGGGACTGTCTGAGGCCCTGAAGAGCCTGCAGCGCCTCCTGAAACCCCGCAGCCACCTGTGTCCCCTGTGAGAGCCACAGGAGGGAGAGAGGGGAGGGCAAGAGAGCCCTAGCAGCCCAGAGCTTGGCTCATGCAAACCAGAAAAACCAGCCACTCCATGAGACCCTTAAGCTCTGTTTATCAAAGAAATCCTTCTGTTCTTGGACAGGATATTGGATATTTCTGGGTGGTGCTTATGTTGCGAATCAACTATTCTTTGAATAAGGATGCAATAAGAAGGAACAAAGAAACGGCACAGATTTCACTGAACAGCTCATTGCCAAGTGCAAGTGAAGCAACAAGGGGTTACAGAAAAGATACCCACGTCCACACAGGAAAAAGCATTTCCAAATCAGATTTGCTCATCATCAGGACAGGATCTCTTTCGAGATATGTGATTTCCCCGGTGGCCTTCGGGCATGTGTCGCTGTGGCTGTGACTGCGAGTAGCCAGAGCCAGCAACAGAGCAGGTAAAGTCTGCTCCCACGAGCTTTGCCTTTAGAAGCTCCCGTGGAGCTCAGCCCCCGGGCAAGGGGCTGGGAGCCAAGGCCTCCCCAAACTACCCTCTTCTCTCTCCCTGATGGGCCCTTCCTTACCCTTGGTCAACCCTTCATTTCCACGGTGTAGCACATATCTCTCCTTAAATATCAGTTTAATCAATCATTTCATTCATGTATTCAGTTAATCAAAAAGTATGTAGAGCATTTAACTCCTGGATATGAACCAGGTGTTTTCAATGAGACCTTGAGTTCCAAACACATGGAGACAGCTGCGCCTTCTCTTATGTTATTGGCAGAAGCAGGGAGAGTTGAACCCAGCCTCCTAGAAGGGTGTGGGGCTCCTTCTCTGCCTAGGATCCCAGGAGCTTTTAAAGTTAGCTGTAGGAGGTTATGCTTTGGGCCATTTTTCTAGGGTCATGGGCCCACATTTTTTCATCTGACTTTCAAAGACATCTGTTTTTCCCATGGGTTAAGAATCACTAATCTGGTTTTCTCCCACATCCAACCCTGGAATATTTTCTGTAACCTGTTTGTTTTTTAGTGATAAAGAACTGTCAGGGGGCTGGCGCTGTGGCTCAGCGGGTTAAAGCCCTGGCCTGAAGCACCGGCATCCCATATGGGCACCAGTTCTAGTCCTGGTTGCTCTTCTTCCGATCCAGCTCTCTGCTATAGCTTGGGAAAGCAGTAAAAGATGGTCCAAGTCCTTGGGCCCCTTGCACCCACATGGGAAACCTGGAAGAAGCTCCTGGCTCCTGGCTTCGGATCGGCTCAGTTCTGGCCGTTGTGGCCATCTGGGGAGTGAACCAGTGGATGGAAGACCTCTCTCTCTTTCTCTACCTCTCTCTGTAACTCTGTCTTTCAAATAAATAAAATAAATATTTAAAAAAAAACTGTCATTGGCACCTGTTGTCATGTCAAACGGCTCTACATGTTGACTATTCCTTCTGATCCTAGGTTAAAACCAGCCTCCTTACAGCTCCTGGCAGTAACAAAGCAAAAATGGGCCCTCAAAGCCCTCTGACACCTGAGACCTGCCAGGCCCCTCTCTACCCAAACTCTTCCGTTCCAACACCAGGTCAGGTTTTTCCACTAATCATCAATTGACACGGATCAAGACTTCCGATGTTAGAGTCTAGGAAGCAAAAGAATAAGACAAAGCCTCAGGCCTCCTGGAACACTTGTTAGGGAGGCAAAGCACGGAGCTGGCTGGGCTCCGCACTCAGTGGTGTGCTGGATTATGTCTGATTCCCACGGCTCTGCAAGCAGGCATCATCCCCATTTCACATAATTGGAAACTGAGGCTTGGAGAGCCTGTGACCTCTTGTCGCTAGTAAGTGACCTCAGGGGGATTTGAAGCCAGATACATGCAGCCTGCATTCTTCCTCATCACGCTTCTAGAAGGTCGACACTAGGATGGGCCTGCACTCAGCAGATGTGCTGGGACAGCATTCCACCTGGGGGGGAAGAGTCTGCCTGGATGCCTCGGGGAGGAGGACCCAGAACAGGGGCTTGGGGTGAGGAGTGGGAAGTGAACCTGGGAAGAAGGTTCAGAGCGCCCTGGGGAAGGCTGTTCGGGCTCCGTCGGGAGTATGGGGTGGGGGAAATGAAACACTGATGGCCATTCAGGAGGACCATTCAGCGGCAGTGTGGGGCTGCACAAAGAGCAGGGGGTACCCTGGAGACGGGAAGCAGGGACGCAGGAGCTGAGCATCCCAGGTCGGAGAGGGTGAGGAAGGCGAATGACAATGCTGGGAGTGAGATGCAAGGAGAGAGGAGGACTTTAAAGAGAGCTCAAGGTTTGGAATCTGCAGGTCGGGAGGGGCCCAAAGCCCATGAACTTGAGACAGGAGAAGACTCCACACAGGGGCTGGCACCACTGGGTTCCTGCTGGTGAATTTGGGTGCAGCTCCTTTCCAGGTGTCCCATTATCTGCAGTCAGGGAGCCACCCCTGCTCCTGCCCGGGGCTGAGGCGCCTTTCCTCCCGTAATCTCGCACTTCCACTGCACGCTCCTCTGCAGGGTGTTTGTTCTGGTGTGTCCCTGGGCAGGGGCAGGGTTCCTACAGGGCGGTTCTGCGTTAGTGCCTACACGGAGCATTGGAGCATCGGGACATCAATTGTTTTAGAGGGCTTACTGTGCTGGTTTCTCCACTGGACCACACGGGCAGTATAAATCTTGACCCTGACCCACTCAACACACAGGCCCTTTGGAGTCCACTTCTGACAGGTGATTGTTTTTTCCTTTGTATTCACATTGCAGGGCCCACAGTCTGCTTCTTCTTACTGCCCCTACGCTTCTGAGCATCATTTTTCCCCCAAATGCCTGCAACAGTCAGGGCTGGGCAAGGCCAAAGCCAGGAGCCAGGAACTCGATCTGGATTTCCCACACAGGAGCCCACGTTCTAGACCCATCACCTGCTGCCTCCCAGGGTGTGCATTAGCTGGAAGCAGAGGCAGAAGCAGAGCCAGGACTCAAACCAGGCACAGTGGGCAGCATTGTCTAACGCCGTTAAGGAAGGGGCATCTCGTTAGTGTTCTTGCTTTGCTGTCAAAGGAGTTTCTGATCAGGCATTTTCTCTCCTCCTGCCCCCACGCAGGTGCCACAACCCAGGCCCTGGAGCCTACGCTTGGGTTCTCTATTAATTTCCAGGGAGTCCAGGCTTCCAGCCTACACTGCTGGTGGCAGTTTCTGTCTTCATTTCTGCCACTCGTGGATTTCCCTTTCTTCTGCTCAGTCCACACTAAAGTAGCTCTTTCCTAGCTGTAGTTCACCTAGCATTTCCGTGACTTGGCAGCGGGCAAGCCATCCACCCTGTGGCTGGATGTCCTGTACTTGTTTTGGTTCCTGGCCAGGAGCCGAACAAAGCAGCAGCAGGTGTGTGAGCCGCTGCAATCTGCCCTGAAGAAGACAATCCGGGCAGCTGTGAGCGGGAAAAGGGTGGATCCTGACGGCAGGAGACAGCTCGGAGAGGGGCCGGGTACCCTCTGCCCCAGGCATGGTGGGCAGCGTTACTGTGCACAGACTTTCGGCACTGCCGCCTGCCCCAGTGTGCGGTGCCATCTCCTCCTCCACCACCACCCCACTCTCTTGGCAAACCCTCTGCTTCTGCCAGGCTGGTCTCTCCTCTGGTTCCGGGATGTATCAGGCTCTCTCCTAGCTCTTGCTGGGTGAGCCACAGTGGACCAAAGCACCTGCTGGTAGCTCCACTTGCCTGAATCCCACAGTCCATGCAGGAGCCCCAGAAGTCTTTCATCATCCCCCCTTGGATAGGACTTTAGGAAAAAAGGACAACAAAAGCACAAAATGCTAAAAACAGTGCTAGCTGTAACTCCCCGCCGTGTGCCTGCTGCTTGGGGAGACTGAAGTCAACTCCCTCAAATGGAACTGCTGCCGGCAAGTGGGGTTCTAGGATAGCAACTGTGCAACTCTGGGCAGAAGGCTGGATGGCAGTGTCCGGGACCTGCCCTGCCAGCTTTTGTTCTCCGGCTTCCAGAGGGTTTGCCTAAGAGAGCATGGGAGTCCTGTGCACCCTCCTGGGGTTTCTGATGCCCACCTTGTGCACATGGTTCACCCACCAGGAGTTACAGGAGTGACCACGGTGGTGGCAGCAGCCTTGCAGGGTCACACAACTTTAGGGACCCTCCCAATACCCCTGCTATCGTGGGCTTCAGTTGTTTTCCTGTCTGTACCTCCTGTTCTGATCCTGCCCACTATTTTTTTTTTTTTATTTGACAGGTATAGCTATAGACAGTGAGAGAGAGAGAGACAGAGAGAAAGGTCTTCCTTCCATTGGTTCACTCCCCAAATGGCCGCCATGGCTGGAGCTGCGCCGATCTGAAGCCAGGAGCCAGGTGCTTCTCCTGGTCTCCCATGCGGGTGCAAGGGCTGAGGACCTGGGCCATCCTCCACTGCCCTCCCGGGCCACAGCAGAGAGCTGGACTGGAAGAGAAGCAACCGGGACAGAATCCGGCGCCCCAACCGTGACTAGAACCTAGGGTGCCGGCACCGCAGGTGGAGGATTAGCCTAGTGAGCTATGGAGCCGGCCCCTGCCCACTATTTAAGGACCCTCGGTGCCACACTGCAGCCCACCTGAGCACCCTCACCCTGAGCCCCCGCATGCCAACTGTCCAGCCCCACTTCCTAGTGCCCATGTCACTCAGCCTTGCCTCTCTAGGGCTGCTCGGCACCCGGGGACGCTGTGACTTTCTGGAACTTAGAGCCCTCACCAACCTTCCCACTCTCTTCAAAGCCTGAATTAGCTATTAGCATTCAAAACTGGGAGTTGCTGATGAAACACCTGCATGAATAATGAACATGTGATTACAGCCAGGGATGCAGTGTCAGAGCAGGGAGTCCCCAGGTCCCTGAAATGCCCAGAATAAAATCCACAAACAAGAAGACCAACGGGTTTGTCTGTCGGTTTGAGAGCCAAAGTGGTGGCACAAAGCTCTACCGGAGGCTTCCTTTGTAATGAAAATGACAACAATACGGAGTGGGCGCTTGGTGCCGCAGTTAAGACACTGCTTGGGGGGCCAGCATTGTGGCGTAGCAGGTAAAGCCACCACCTGAAGTGCCGGCATCCCATATGGGCACTGGTTTGAGTCCTGGCTGCTCCACTTCTGATCTAGCTCTCTGCTGTGGCCTGGGAAAGCAGTAGAAGATGGCCCAAGTCCTTGGGACCTTGCACCCATGTTCACCTTGCACCCAGAAGAGGCTCTTGGCTCCTGGCTTCGGATTGGTGCAGCTCTGGCAGTTGCAGCAAGTTGAGGAGTGAACCAGTGGATGGAAGACCTCTCTTTCTCTCTCTGCCTCTCCTTCTCTCTGTGTGTAACTCTTTCAAATAAATAAATACATCTTTAAAGAGAAAAAAAAAGACACTGCTTGGGACGCCCACATTCCAAAGCAGATTGGAAGTCCCAGCTCCACTCCCAATTCCAGCTTCCTGCTAATGCACACACTGGGAGGCAGCAGGTGGTGGTTCAAGTACTTGGCTTCCTGTCACCCTTGTACAAGACCCAGATTGAGTTCCAGACTCCTGGCTTCAACCTGGCTTGATCCTGGCTGTTGTAGGTATTTGGAGAGTGAACCAGCAGATGGGAGATCTCTCTGTCTCTCTGCCTTTCAAATACATTTTTAAAAATTTTAAAAGAATAAAAGAAAATGATAGCAAGTCATGGACACTCCTAGAGCATATCACACTCAGAACAGCCTGGCTTTTTGTCTGTGTAGGAGAGGGGCAGTAACAGGGGTGGGGCCAGCCCAGACCTGTCCCCAGACAGGAAGTGGGACAGGAAGGACCTGTCCCAGACCTGCCCTTGTCCCAGCAGCTTCGTCAAGCTGGGCACATCCTCAAGTGGAGGCGGAGACGCTGGCTTTGGCCACTGCCTCCTGGGTCATCAGAGCACAGGGAAGGTAACAGTAAGAGGTGTGAGCCCCTGTAGAAACAGAGGAGGTGACTCCTTCCCTCTCCCTTTTCTTAGGGCATCTGGTTTAAAAGATTTCCCGTTTAAAAACATTTTAAAATAGCCAGCTCCGAATGCCTTTAGGGCTGATTCTGAGGCCAGAGTGCTATTTAGGACATCTGCCATTCTATGAGTCTGCTGAGTATCTCACTTCCCATGTTGGATCACTCTCCCCTTTATTTACTCCATCAGTTAGCGTTAGCAGGTACTAGACTTGTCTATGTGCTCCCTTTGACTCCCAGTCCCTTCACCATGACCAACTGTGAACTGAAACTGATCACCTGGGAACAGTGAGATGGCATTGGTACATGCCACCTCGATGGGATTGAATTGGAATCCCCCTGGTATGCTTCCAACTCCACCACTTGGGGCAAGTCAGCCTGAGCATGTCCCAAATTATACATCTCTTCCCTCTCCCATTCCCACCACCATGTTCAACAGGGATCACATTTCAGTTAATTTTCAACACTTAAGAATAACTGTGCATCAATTACAGATCTAAACCAGTCATATTAAGTAGAACAGATAAAAAAAACTACTAAGAGGGATAATGTATTAAGTTGTTCATTAACAGTCAGGGCTATGCTGATCAAGCCACCGTTTCCC